TGGATTGAAATGTGTGAACAGAGCTTTTAAGAATTGAAAAATAGATTAGTATCCACTTTAGTGTTAGTAATTTCAAAGGAATCGGAGGGATTTGTTATCTACAGTGATGCTTCCAAGCTAGGTCTGGGTTGTGTTTTTATGCAACGTGGAAGGGTGATAGCCTATGCATCAAGACAATTAAAGCAGTACGAGAAAAATTATCCAACGCAAGATTTAAAACTTGCAGTAGTAGTCCACGCTCTCAAGATTTGGTGTCATTACTTATATTGAAGCAAGTGTGAAATTTATAGTGACCATAAGAGCCTCAAGTACTTCTTTACCCAGAAGGAATTAAACACGAGACAACAACAGTGGTTAGAGTTAGTAAAAGATTATAATTTTACCATCTATTACCATTCCGGTAAAGTTAATGTAGTAGCAGATGCTCTGAGTAAGAAGAACCAGGGTCACTTATTAGCACTGGGTACACAACAAAATCAATTAATCAAGGACTTTGAAAATCTGAGGATAGAAGTGCTAACACTACCAGCTCGAGCATCATGTAAGTTGACAAGTTTGGTTCTAGATTCAACCCTCAAGGACAAGATTATAGCAGCTCAAAAGGATGACTCTTTCTTGGAATAGATAAGGGCCGAAGTTGGAATCAAGAAAAGGAAGGGATTTGAGATAAGCAGTGATATGACACTTATGTTTAAAGGCAGACCGTGTGTACCTAAGGATGAAGAAATAAGAAAGGAGATTATGACTGAAGCTCATTCCGCTTCTTATGCCACACACCCGGGCTCTACAAAGATGTACATAGACTTACGCAATACCTTTTGATGGAAGAATATGAAAGGAGGAATAGCTTTATTCGTGTCGAAGTGTATAGTTTGTCAGCAAGTGAAAGTAGAGCATAAAAAACCATCAAGGCTATTAAATCCAATGGACATACCAGAATGGAAGTGGGAGAAAATCTCGATGGATTTTGTGGTGGGCCTTCCTAGGTCAGCAAAAGGTCACGATGTCATTTGGGTCATAGTAGATCGACTTACAAAATCTGCCCATTTTCTACCGGTCCGTATGACTTTCAGTCTGGAACAGTTTGCACAACTATATGTCAAAGAAATCGTTCGACTTCATGGGATACCAACATCCATTATGTCAGATAAAGACCCCAGATTCACTTCAAAATTTTGGAGGAGTCTTCAGACAACTATGGAAACTAAGTTATCTTTCAGTACAACATATCGTCCTCAAATTGATGAACAATCAGAACGAACTATACAAGTATTAGAAGATATGTTGAGGGCATGTATACTAGATTTGGGCGGTAAATGGGGGAACCACTTGGCAACGGTGGAATTTGCATACAATAATAGTTTTCAAACTACTATCGGCATGGCTCCATACAAGGCATTGTATGGCTGAAAATGTCGTTCGCTAATATGTTGGGATGAGGTTGGTGAGAGGAGAATCCTAGGTCCAGAACTTATTGAGAAGACTATGGAGGCTATAGATAAGACTAGAATGAGGATTAAGATAGTTCAAGATCACCAAAAGAGTTACAAAGATAAGAGAAGAAAAGAACTAGAATTTGAGGTGGGAGAAAAAGTGTTTCTCGTCGCCCCGACAAAAGGGATACTACGATTTGGAAAGAAAGGGAAGCTAAAACCAAAATTTATCAGCCATTTGAGATCCTTGAGAAGGTTGGAAATATAGCATATCGTTTGGCACTACCACCTGAGCTATTGGCAATACATGATGTATTTCATATTTCTATGTTGAGAAAGTACATCCATGATCCAAGTCACGTGATTAATGCTCAGTCTTTGGACGTGCGGAGTGATATGACTTATGAAGAAGCACATGTAATAGTTTTAGAAAGGAAGGTACACATTTTGAGAAATCGAGAAGTGCCACTAGTCAAAGTCCAATGGAGTAGACATGGGAAGGATGAGGCTACATGGGAGAGAGAAGCAGATGTTTTGGCTAAGTATCCAAACCTCCTTATCGAGTAAATTAAATTTCGAGGACAAAATTATTTTAAGGGGGGAAGATTGTAGCAACCTAAAATAAATTTTCATCTATTTCTTGTTGACATATTTCGTCAGTTGAAATACCAAGGGACAAATTTAAAAATAAATCTTTGTGTCAAAATTTTAACTTTCCGTCAAATAATCAAGTGTTCTTCGAGCGAGAAATTTCATATCGATATTGGGATTGTTTCGAAGCTCACATTAAATGATAAACTTTGTACTAGAGAAAAAGTCATTTCGGATAAGTTAGGCCCATGATATTAATGTTCAAAAAAAAAAAAATCACATGTTTAATTAAAGTTAATTAAGGATTTAATTGTTACTTTTGTTGACCAGCCACGTGTGTCAACTAATTTCATCTTTTAATTTTTGTATTTTATATTATTATTTTTTTGTTGTAAGATTAGGATGACAAAGCAAAATTTGGATTAGTTTATGTTACCCCCTCGTGAATTTTGGTGCAATTAAAAATGTTAGATAGAGTCCTACATAGGGAAAAATTTTTTTTGGATCAAACTAGTTTACGTGTAGGTCAATAAAGATTAGGATGCTATTTTATAGTAATCAAAGATAATTTATGTTAACTGGGTTGTTGAGGATGAATGAGAGTTCTAGTCCAATTAGACATCTAATTCAACAATAGACTTTAGTTGCCACATTCAATAGAATACTAGGATAATGTAGCCCATATTTTCACGCCATTTTTAAGCGCTCATCAGTAAAGAAATTCAGGGAAAATTTTGATGCTCTCGTGTTAGTCATTTTAATATCAAATATGAAGGAATTCGGTTCAACATAGGACTTCCTCATCACCACGAGCTAAGATTAATTGGAGATCCAGCGGAGGTTTGGCATGAATAGCATATTTTATTTTTAGAGAAATTTATTTTATGTTTTAGATTTGCCACTTTTATGTTCATTATTCATTGGTGTCCCGAATATTGGAGTTTGAATTCATGTGTTTGAGACAAACAGTTCTTTTTTTTTTTTTTTAATGTTTGTTTGTGTTTCCAGTTTCTGCCTCCAAGTTTAAAAATTCACCCAGACCTGAATACTTTAAATTTTGAGGTGATTCTAGTTGGAAAGGATAGCCTTATGAGTTATCTATCCCTCGGATTTGAAATCATGAATTTGGATCTATAAAACTCAAGTTACGAATATTTTCTCAAGAGCTGTCGGATTGTACCCGGGAACAGATTTTCCTCGGTTAGAAAGAATTTTTGACCAATCTATTGATTGCATTTATTTACGAAATTTTAATTTGTAATTCCCCTATGTGTATACTGTCTACAGTTAAAATTTTGTAAATTTTGGACTTCATTTATGTGTCAAACAAGATTTATTTCAGAAAGTCGTACAAGTTGAAGTAAAAAATTTCCACACGAAAATTTTCTTAAATTTTGTAACAAGTTCTCCAGAGCCTTAAATGTTTTTATTATAGGTTAAGCTGCTACATTTTATGAACTATTTTGGGAGAATTTTATAAATTTAGGGTCTTTGTAATGTCACGAGTTCTCGGAGCTCGAGGCGTTACAACGACTCGCTTACAACTCAGTGTGTTCTTTATCATTAGGACCACAATTAATTTTTGTAAATTCTATTTGATCGAGGATCTTTTAAGGAGTCAATTTAAAATTATGTTACATATGGAAATTATTATAAAACAAACCTCCGTGCCCCCCTGGCTGCATGCGGTAATATTCCAACAAGCAAGTGTTTTCTGAAAAAATAAGGGCAAAGCTTTTTCCGCCGTTTTACTTCTAACATGAGAATTAATTTTTAGTGAGGAAAAGTAACGGAGGTATTTAGATAGTCAAAGTTCTTCAGGTTCATACCTGTTTTGCCTTGGATATATTTATAGGTGACTGAAACCATGGGAACGTTGGGCGGTTACAGTGCCTCGTGTCTCATATAATATTTTCCACTACCCCAACGTTTTGAGTAGGGGGTCTCTAACTATCTGATCGTTGGTTGCGTTCGCGACAGTTGTTAAGCGATCTCCATCCAAGTTACTGATATTTTTTATGGCTAAGTGTTGGGTCAGCCGCGTAGTGGTTGATGGTCCCATGGGGGCGATGGCTCGGTATAGATGTAAAATACTCGTGGGGATTGACGGTTGGGCATGGACGTAGAGTGCTCATGGGATCGACAGTCTAACATAGATGTAGAGTACTCATTAGGGTCGATGGTCGGGTATGGACGTAGAATGCTCATAGGGGTCGATGATCGGGTATGGACATAGAATGCTCATAGGGGTTGATGATCGAGCATGGATGTAAAGTACTTATGGGGGTCGGCGGTCGGGTACTGGCGTAGAGTTCTCATTGGGGTCGACAGTCAAGCATGGATATAGAGAGCTCATGGGGGTCGACGGCCTAGCATAGACGTAGAGTGTTCATAGGGATCGACGATCGGGCACTGATGTAGAGTGTTCATAGGGGTCGACAATCGGACATCGACGTAGAGGGTTGATAGGGTCTACGGCCTAGTATAGACATGGAGTGTTTATGGGGCCAATGGCCTAGCATAAATGTTGGGTTCTTATAGTGGTCGACAAGCCAACATGAATGTAGAGCGCCTATTGAGTAGTCTTCACCTTGTTGGTCATCGTAAATCACATATTATTCTTATCTTTCTCTTTATCAAGAAAACATGTATAAAAACCAATCACTTTTCTCTCTATTACTCCCTATTGCTTCATCGACAAGAAAACATGGAAAAAAAATAAGAGACAGTCTTCAAGTACAGAAGAAGCAGATACAGAACATTCGCAGCACACACATGCAGTTGAGGGATGGTTTGTTTTTTTAAATATAACTATTTTTCTTCTGAGAATGAATAATTTTGTACAAGTAGAATTATTCAAAAATAAATAAATTCATTTGTCTCTCCGTGACTGCCTAACATCTCATGGACTAATGTTTGATGCTATTCAAAATATTTTCGATTTTTCCAATATTTTGAGCATTTTGAAAAGGCATGGGCCTATAAATACCCCCACGCCGTTGTGTCTTAAGCCCGTCTGTCGTCACGCTCTCCCTCGATCTCGATCCGAATTTCGATTTTCAGCTTCTCACTAGGATTTTATCACTGCAATAGTAAATCCTTAAACCTTCGTTAATTTCCCCTTTCCTCTCTAGGGTTGTCAGGTCTCAATCCCGAATTTCACAAATCAAATCCAGCGAGAATTTCGAATTTTCGCCATCCAGTTTGAAGCTTCCCCGCAAAATGTAAGTGACCTCTAAGTATACTCTTAATCCAGAAATATTATTATTTACCGTCGACAAGCGCGCACCTAGGGTTTTAAGAGTATTTGAATAAGTGCTGCGAAATTTCGGCGGCAAGGGTTAAAAGTTTAGAGCGGAGTTCTAGTAGGGTTTTTCGACGTAAAAACCCTAAATGATTCAAGAATCTGAATATGAGCGATGGAGGTAAAGCGGAGAGCAAGACAGGGAAAAAGAGTCGAATTACTCGAGCTGGTGAGGATAACTTCGGCCGCGCAATATCAAAAGTTGCCGTGGCACAGATATGCGAGAATGTTGGGTTTGAGAGCTTTAATGAGTCGGCACTTGATTCCCTTGCTGACTTGGCAATCCGTTACCTCCTTGACCTAGGGAAAACTGCTAAATTTTATTCAAATTTAGCTGGTAGGACTGAATGTAACGTGTTTGATATAATTCAGGGGCTAGATGATTTGGGCATGTCGACAGGGTTTTCAGGTGCTTCAGAGGTTGAATTTAATTGTACAATTAGTTCAGGTGTTGTAACAGAGATTAGAGGATACGTGGAGTCAGCTGAGGAAACACCATTTGCGCAGCCAGTTCCGCATTTTCCGGTGGTTGGAGAATGGAGGTTGATACCAAGTTTCTTGCAAATGGGTGAGATGCCTGGCTTTAAACATATTCCAGAGTGGTTGCCAGCATTTCCCGATCCCCACACTTATATACACTCAGCCATGTGGAATGAAAGGGTTTCTGATCCTCGCACAGACAAGATTGAGCTAGCAAGGCAGCATAGAAAGGCAGAGAGGGCTTTGTTGAACTTGCAGCAGAAACTTGTGTGTAATGGGCTGCCAGTGGCTTCAACATCTGCTGAACCAGATGATTATAGGAGTGGGTTGGAAGTTAATGATATTGAGAACCAAGTTTTGGCTAATCTTCCAGAAGATGAAGACCAAGATGAGTCTCCTGCTATTCTGTCCGGTAAGCGCTCTGGTGAAGCAAAGATGGAAAATCATGTTACTTTGCTGGAGATGTTTGCTCCCGCTGTTGAGGCAATGAAGGATGGGCTTTCTGATTCTGGGAATGAGGGGGAGAAGAATTTTTTGAGCAAGAGGCCTGATGGTCTGGCTGCTAAGTTTTCTGGTGAGGTGCGCACGGAAAAACATGTTTCTTTTCTGGAGACATTTGCTCCTGCAATTGAGGCAATGAAGGATGGGCATTCTGATTCTGGAAACTATGGAGAGAAGAGTTTTCCTGGCAAGAGGCCTGCTGTTTGTTTGGAGTTCAAGGGAGATAAAAATGTTTTTGGTGAATCATTGGATTTGAGGATCCGGAACAAGAATTTTGGCCGGACAGCACCCTGTTTTGGACGCGAGGACGAGAAGGATGACAAGAAGAGGAGGGTTGAGTTTATACTTAGGCAATCCCTGGAAAATCAACAGGAGCTGACTTAGATGTATATTAGTTAGTAGTTCATTGATTGACTTGGTGGAAGGGAATTATTATACTCTGTTCAGAAAAATATCGGTTGATTAGAATAGTCAAAACCTGAACTGTAGCTCGGCTTGTGAATGTGTTGAGAATGCATCTAGGAACTGGACCCTGTTTTTTCGAGGTACGCAAATGGTTGTTTCAGATTTCTCCATTCATCTATAGTGTGATTTTTTTCACAAAGAAAATTGTAGCTTTCAATATTTTTTATATCGATAAATTAATCTTAGCTTATGCATTTTATTCTCTGCTTTTGATGATCTGTTGGTGATGGACCCTTTTTTATAGCTTACATGTCATTTAAGGTAGATCTCTCCAAAATCTTACGTGGTGTGAGTAAAAGTAAATAATTTACTCGTGGACATCTGCACAGGGATATTACAGTCTCTCCATGAACCCACAATATCACCTTCCAAAATATGGGAAAGAAACAGCTAGGGTTTTTATTTTCTTTGTTCGACCTGTTCAAAAAAGATTCTGTGCGCATCACGTCCATTCCAAACTCGAAACAGGTTCCCCAAAAACTTTCAGCCTCATCAAAAGTCTTTGCTTTGCTTTCTGCTTGTTTCAACTTTCGTACATGTGAATCATTTCTTAATTCCCAACCGTTGTGCCACACTTTGGTTTGTTGCGGATACTTTTGACTGAAAACTTATGTAAATCATTACTTCTGCCAATAGTGCAACAAAGAAAAATTATAAACTATTGATTGTTATTTCCCTAATTAATCTCATGTATCGTTCAATCTACACCTATAGAAAATTGAAAAAGTTTCTTAGATCAGCACACATTATATATGAACTGAATATTTGTCTGAAATTTCAGATAACTATCTTATAACTTTGTCATTATTTATACTGAATGGATTTTAAATAAGCTAATCATAATTTCCTTTGGTGCATAAGAGAAACAGCAGTGACAATATCATAAGACGTCCATATGGTACAAATCATAATGCAATAATGTAGTTAAAAATAAAAGATTTATTCCCTTCATCTTTCATCTAGAACACTCATTGTTTTATCAAGTAGGCTTAATTATGAAAAATGACTTCAACGAAGTGTCTATACTAGGAAGAAAAACTCAACATGTAAAATAAAGGGGATAGATTATTATGATAATAAACCACAAACCATACAAAACTTATATTTTTGTTGCTAATGGAAATTAAGAAAACATATCATTTACCAAAAATAGAAATTCTCCTTTTGTTAATAAGTACCCTAAATTACTAACATCAAATCTATGCTATTCTCCATCTGTATACATGCTAGCAAGTCGATTATATATTTTGAGAGCAGACATAATGCTGTATGACATGAACAATCTTGATAAATTGATTTCAATAAATAATGTACACGGGGAAGGAAATGGGTAATACAATGTCCTTGATGAGTTGATTTTGATTTTTTTAAACACACACACACACACACACAAATAAAAAAAATGTGAGGGGACATTGATATATATATCAAAATATTATTCCGACTTTTGTTGTAAAAGATATGAATCATGACTTATCTTTTATGGTCAAATATAAACATATAACACATGAAATTTGATGAAAAATGGCGAAATAAATGATAAATTAAGTAACGATTGGACATGTCTATGAAAATAGGAAATTACTAAGGAAGCTTCTTTTGGTTACCATGCTGCTTTGACAAGTAGATATAGTATTTGATTTACTTTCCAAATTAGACATTTATTTTAGGAAATATGATTTAGTGTTTGATTTAATAGATTTAGATTTTATAGTATTCTCTTACTTCAATTAGGATTAGCCTATATAAACGGACTTATGCATTGTAATAAGGCATAATTTTGATAATGAAATAAAGATATTTTCTCTCTTAAATTTTTGCGTCCGTTTGTCTAATTCCTCTTCCTTTCTATCTCCTCCTCTTCTTCTCTTTTCCCCTCCTCTCTTCTTCTTCTTCCTTCCTTTCTTGATCTTGTTCTATATTGCACCCTACGTCAGTATGCCATAACTTCTAAACTTATATTTATGCATCATCTTTTTGTTTAAAATTAATTTTATATATTTTGTGTTCAACCTCAACCAGTGATTTGCCTGCTTGGGCTGGGTCTCATAACCAAGGTAAGTATATGTTTGGTTAAAATATTGCTCGTGCTTTTTTTTTTTTTTTGGTTGTTATTTCTGTTTCTTTCTTAGCTTGGTGGAAGTGGTTCAAGAGGTTAAAACTGTAATCTAACTAGAGCATCCATTCCTTTTTATAAATCAGCTTCAGCAAGCTGATATCCTAGGAAGGTTAATGGGTTTGAAGTTAGGAACCAATTACATTTAGTTTCCACATTTTAGGTTAGTTTTACTTATTATTATCCATCAATCCATATTAGGAGAGGAATTTGCTGCAACCTGATGACCATCCTCTTTCCCCTGATGGCTACTCCTGCCATATTTAACCCCCGACAGCAATTAAATAAGTCAGTGCTCAACCATTAGCTACGTCGGATGGGAAACTCAAGTCTATTTTACTTTTTCCCCTGTTCACTCAGTTCATTGGTGTTCTCAGCATTAGAGTGGGCTATTTCTAAAATTTGTAGTGTGCACAAGGTGAATTGTTCGATAGTAATATCAATAACCACATTTATGCTGTGTTTTGCAACCTGGATTTAGGATCCATTAGAAATCCAGCGTTTGAATTTGTAGTTGTTAACGTGAATTTTAATTAAATACACAAGCATGTGTTGAAAGGTTTTCTTTTGTCTTTTTGTCACCCCCCCCCCCCCCCCCCCCCCCCCCCCTCTCCCCGT